AACCCATCTTCTGGTTAAAAAAAAAAAAAAAAAGTTATACACCTGAAACTAATTTACCATTGAATGTTAATTGTACTTCAATAAAACAAAACTAAAAAGGAAAAAATAAAATGTTTATCTTAGTCAATTTTCTCTACGTTGTTTTATTAAAGATTATTCATTTTCATTGATTTTTTCTTAAAATAGGGGAGCTTTTCTTTCTCATTGAATTTGAGATTTAATTTATATATAGTAAGATTCCTCTATGATACAGTTTTGTGAATTTTGAAAATGCACGTACCCATTCGGCCACCACCATAATTAAGATCTGGAATGTTACCATCGGCCTAAAAAGTTCCTGCAGGCCCTTTGCAGCCAATTTTCCCCTAACCTCTCAAGGCCTGGTAGCCATTGATCTATTTTCTTTCCCTATAATTTTGCTTTTTTGCTAGAATATCATATAATTGAATCGTAAAGTATGTAACCATCTGTGTATTGCCTCTTTCATATATTATGATATTTTGAATAAAACTTCTGTGAACATTCATGCACATCCGTCTCTGTAGACCTGCATTTTTGTTTCTCTTGGGGAAATACCTAAGAGTAAAATTGCTGGTTATAGGATAAGCGTATGTTTAATTTTATAAGAAACCAGCAAACTGTTTTCCAAAATAGTTGAACCATGTTGTATTCCCAGCAATAACATATGAGACTTCCAGTTGCTTTATATCCTTGTAAAAATCCTTGATATTGTCAGCTTTTCTTTTTTTGTTTTTGTTTTTGTTTTTTTGGTCAGCCTTTTAAATTTTAGATATTCTATTCCATATATAATTGTGTCTTGTGGTTTTGAGTTTCCTGGATTACTGATCTTTTTGAGCATCTTTTCATGTGTTCATTGATTTTTTTTCTATGATATATTAAGTTCTTATATATATGTTTTATTCTGTTCTGCTGACCTACTTCTTCATTCTTATAAATACCACATTATTTTATTTTATTTTTATTTTATTTTTTTTAAAGATTTTATTTATTTATTTGACAGAGAGATCACAAGCAGGCAGAGAGGCAGGCAGAGAGAGAGGAGGAAGCAGGCTCCCCTAGAGAGCAGAGAGCCGGATGCGGGGCTCGATTCCAGGACCCCAAGATCATGACCCGAGCCGAAGGCAGCGGCCCAACCCACTGAGCCACCCAGGCGCCCCAATACCACATTATTTTAACTATTATAGTTTTATTTTTTACTTTTACTATTATAATTTTATAATGCATTTTAATACATACCAATATAATTACCTCCTATTTTAAAAGTGTTCTATTTTCTTTTGTTTACTTATTCATTTATTATTCATAGGAACATTAAAGTAATTTCATTAAGTGGCCTCCCATCCTTAAGTGGAGATTTTGTTAAACCTAGGAATTATTTTGGAAGGGATCTTTGTAATAGTCTTCACATCAAGAACATGTTATGTCTCTAGTTATTTAGGCCTCTCATATCTCTTCATACAGTTTTGTTAGTTTTAAAAAATATATATCTGGTACATTTCTCAGTGGTATTTCTGTAAATTTCATTCTTTTGGGCTATTTTATATCCATATATAATAGTAATACTATTCTACTCACTTTCATATTGGTATTTATAATAACCTTTTATCCTTGTCCTTTGAAAGTTAAAATCTATTTGTGTGCTGCTCACAGAGTGCCGCTTTTTACGATTTTAGAGGCTGAGCTTTAAGTGGGAAGCTCTGACAGCTGGTAGGGTATATAGAAGATTCTTATCTTGGAGGTACATGTTCTGTTACTTGGGACTTACTTGGCTTTGAAGTCATGAAGGATGTCCTGAGGTAACAGAACGCAAGGTCATTGCCGGCTGTTGGGGGATAAGCGTGCCAGGGAGGGTGTGGGTGACAAACATTGCCCTATTGTTGAAGTGACAACATTGGGAGGCTGAACTGAGCTGAAACTCAGATCTTCTGATCCCAAGTCCAGTGCTCTCTGTTCTCTCCATGCAGTTGGATATAAATGACAACAGGTATTCAGACAGACTCAATAATTCTGCAGAGAGTCCAGAGATAACTGGTTATGTTTTAGATTATAAAAAGTACATTTTCCTATAAAGCTTTATATCTTAACGAATTAGCTACCTATTTTGCTTTTAATTTTGCTTTGAACTTTTCTCTGAGTTCTATTAGTATGGAATAGTGTGCTTCTCAGACTGTTGCATGGAACAAGAAAACCATTTTAATTATTTTTGGGGGTGGGGGTGGGGAGCAGAGAAAGAGGGAGAAAGAATCCCCAAGCAGACTCTGTGCTGAGTGTAGAGTCCAATATGGGGCTTGATCTCACAACCCTGAGATCATGACCTGAACTGAAATCAAGAGTCAGATGCTTAACTGATTGAGCCATCTGGGTACTCCAAGAAAACCATTTTATTTTTAAAAAAATATTTATTTGACAGAGATCACAAATAGGCAGAGAGGCAGGCAGGGGGCGGGAAGCAGGCCCCCTGCTGAGCAGAGAGCCCAACGTGGGGCTTGATCCCAGGACCCTGAGATCATGACCTGAGCCGAAGGCAGAGGCTTAAACCACTGAGCCACCCAGGTGCCCCACTAAGAAGACCATTTTGATATGTGAGGTAGTTCATGTAGTTTGAGGAGGACGTGTGTGTGTGTGTGTGTATGTCAGAAGTGAATTCAGTTACCCTGACCTTCTTGCATAAGATATTTTCTAGGCTATTTTTATTTTGTGTGTTCACAACATTGTGTTTTCTGATTTTTTTAAGTGATCTTTTAAAATAAACTCTGAGGGAAAAAAATGAACCTCTAGTCCCTTAAATGCTTATTGTTATAAACCTCTATAAAACCAAAAAAGATGACATCATGTAGTATTCTTTTATTTATTTGTCAGGGGGAGAGCATAAGCAGGGGGAGCTGTGGAGGAAGAGGGAGAAGCAGACTCCCCGCTGAGCAAGGAGCCCAATGCGGGGACTTGATCCCAGGACTCTGGGATCATGACTAGAGCCCAAGGCAGATCCTTAACCCTGACTGAGCCACCCAGGTGTACCTGTGCCTGGATTCTTGACTCGTGGAAACAAGATAATAAATTCATTTGGTTTTAAGCTTATAGGTTTGTAGAAATTTATTATACGGCATGGAAAACTAAAACCATGACCTTAAGGAGCTTATTGAACTGAGCTAATGTGTTTTCTTTTGAAAAATGGGCATCTTATCTCTTTCTAGGGCAGTTATAGGATTACATGAAATGATAAGGTATCTGGAAATCAGTAGGCAGTCAAAAATGTTGGCATGCCGGGTTTCCTGTACATGGCAGTATGAGGTCACTTGAACATGATTTTTGCATCTCTGGGGTAAGCTGTCCTCCTGTTTCTAGAACTGTGCAGTGTACACTTTGGCCGCCACCCCAGGCTGGCTCAGGGAATGGTGGTAAAGTCACAAACAATTGAATATCAGTTTGTGTTTGGTTGAAAAGGTGTTACTGGAATCTACCTAAAGTGGGAAAGAATTATAAAACATACTTCTGGTCCAATCATGGAACTATGTTTTTTTGTCCGGGGATCGGGGAGGGTGGCTCTACTTCTCAAAGTTTGGCTCTGGATCAAGTTCATCTGTTTCCACATTCTCCTTGGACTAGCAGCTACCTGGGGCATTTTTTTTTTTTTTTCCTTGGGAGCTCAAGAAGCCAAGCCAGACTGTTGGATATTCCGTCTACTAACATGCCACGGGTTAAAGCAAGTTTTGTGGCCAAGCTCAACGTCATTCGGTGGGCAAGCACACTCCACCCACTGGGGTGCACTGTGAGGTCACAGGGCCGAGGGAGGCAGTGGGGGAATTGAGAGCAGTCATCACCACCAGCCTCAAGTGGCAGATCTTTTGGTTCTTCAGGTCGCTCATTTCTTTGTCCTCTTATTGATTACTCTTATTCTCTTGTTGGACTGAATTCCCTTAAAAATATCATGTTAAGTTCTGAAGAGGGATATACGTGAAAGAATATAAGCAGTTGAATTTGGTGACTGATGCACAAGTCCTGTTCTTGAGGAGATTGTTTTTTGCCACACCAATTTCAGGCAACTGTCTTACTTTCCGTGTCCAAAGGAGACTATTTTTTTTTTTTAATAATTTTTTTTATTAACATATAATGTATTATTAGCCCCAGGGGTACAGGTCTGTGAATTGCCAGGTTTACACACTTCACAGCACTCACCATAGCATATACCCTCCCCAATGTCCATAACCCCACCACCCTCTCTGTATCCCCCTCCCCCGGCAACCCTCAGTTTGTTTTGTGAGATTAAGAGTCTCTTATGGGGGCGCCTGGGTGGCTCAGTGGGTTAAGCCTCTGCCTTCAGCTCAGGTCATGATCTCAGGGTTCCAGGATCGAGTCCCGCATTGGGCTCTCTGCTCAGCGGTGAGCCTGCTTCCCCCTCTCTCTGCCTGTCTCTCTGCCTACTTGTGATCTCTCTCTCTCTGTCAATAAATAAATAAAATCTTAAAAAAAAGTCTCTTATGTTTTGAAGGAGACTATTCCTTTATTTTTTTTTTAAGATTTTATTTATTTATTTGACAGCACAAGTAGGCAGAGTGGCAGCAGAGAGAGAGAGAGAGAGAGAGAGAGGAGGAAGCAGGCTCTCTGCTGAGCAGAGAGCCCGATGCGGGGCTCGATCCCAGGATTCTGGGATCATGACCTGAGCCGAAGGCAGAGGCTTTAACCCACTGAGCCGCCCAGGCGCCCCATGAAGGAGACTATTTCTAATGTATCTCTTAAGAATTCAAAGAACATGTGGAGAATAGCCTATTAGTCAAAGAGTAAGATATTTAAATATTCCTAGGTTTTCTTGACTCACCAGCAAGGCATTTACGAGGCCAAACTTTGGCCATTGTGCCTTGTACCTGTCATTAAGAAGATGTCGCCTACCTCTTAGCTGAGTAGCATTATCAGTGTTGTTGACGAGGAAGATATTTAATCAAAATGTTCTAATAATAGCCCGCTTTCCCCCCCCTCTGCTGTAGGACATAATGATTACATTTGCCCAGCTACAAACCAGTGTACAATAGATAAGAATCGGCGCAAGAGCTGCCAGGCCTGCCGGCTCCGGAAGTGCTATGAAGTGGGGATGGTGAAGTGCGGTGAGTTTTTGCTTCCCCTTTCATCATGTGTGGGCCACGCTGACCGCTCTGTCAGACAGGACAGGCGGCGGGACTGGGGACAGGTAGCCTGCATGAGAGGAGATTTAGGACTTGGTCATTATCTTCAAGTATGCGTATGCTGTCCCATTGGAAGGGGCATTGATTTGTTCCCTGTAAGTGCTGAGGACAGAGCTGAGGTAAACAGGAACAGGTTACAGGAGGCACATTTTGGCCCAATGTAGGGGGAGACCTTTCTTTCTTCTTCTTTTTTTTTTTTAATTTATTAACATATAATGTATTATTAGCCCCAGAGGTATAGGTCTGTGTAGGGAAGACCTTTCAACAATTAAGTGGTCTGACAACACAATAGGCTACTGCATGATTCGAGAGCTCTGGCTACTGAAGTACGCAAATGGGTTGGATGACCATCTGCCTGAGGCCTTGAGAAGTCTAAGGAGAAAGTTCTGGTAAATGTTCACAGTGAAAGCTGTGACAAGAAAGACTATCTGATGGGTTACTTGGATAGCTAGGGGAAAGAATCATGCCCATCCCCTATTAGCTTATTAGAGAAGATCTATAGAGGAGTCAGAAACATGGTAGAACTCTGGAAAGCACATAGGGGGATTCTGTTACGATGGTATGTATCCAAATCTATGAATAAACATACGTATGTGTGTGTGTCCACACATAGATGCATACATCTATGAGAAACAAAGAAAAATGGGCACGTAAGAATAACAGCTGACAAGAATGCTTACATCCTGCTCTCTTTGAGATTACATTCTTAATAATCTCTTTGACATTACGTCCTCTCTCTTTTTGATTCATTCGTCTTCTGTACACCCTTGCTGGTTCATGTGCACTCACATCAGCTCTGCCTGACTCTGCTAGTCAGTATTTTGCCTGTGGTTAGTTGTAATTTCTCTCTTTGTAACTATTTGAAAAATTTGAAACAAGAGTCTCTTTTCTCCCTGACAGTCTCTTAAGAGCTCTGCCTTTTGAACATTCTCTGTCCTTTTTTAAAAAATGTGTATAATAGGTGAGACATCTCATCCAGCTATATCCTGTAGAGCAGAAGTTCTCTTATTTGATCACACTTCTCTGGCTTCCGAGAATCACTGATGTTTTGGTTTCTTTGTAAAATACCCTGCCAATGCCCATGACCTCCCAGTGTGTACTGGTTACTCTCTAAAATATTCGAGCATTTCTGTTCCCCCCTGCTTCAGTTATACCCTTGTCGGTAACCAGTGGGCTTCTTCTAAAACCTGTTTTTACTTTCTGTAACTGTCAAATGATATAATTTAATTAGAACTTATGCAACCATATGAAATATGAGTAGGAAAAGACAATCATTTCTCTTTTTTAAAAGATTTATTTGAGAGAGAGAGAGCACGAGCAGGGGGAGAGGCAGAGGGAGAAGCAGACTCCCCACTAAGCAGGGAGCCCAGTGTGGGGCTCGATCTCAGGACACTGGGATCACCACCTGAGCCTAAGGTAGATGCTCAACAAACTGAGCCATTCAGGTGCCCCAAGACAGTCACTTCTTTGAAAGCTTTGGATAAACTGTAAAGGAGGGGTACCTGGCCAGCTAGCTGACTCTTGATCTCGGGGTCATGAGTTCAAAACCCATGTTGGGTGTAGTGCTTGCATTAAAAAATACCCCCCAAACTGTAAAGGACTAGTAACTATTGAGTTAGGTATGAGAATGGGGGGAGGGGTCATGAACCTAGAAAAATTCTGAATTTGGATTGCTTTATGAGTGCCTAACTTCTTGCTCTGTTTTAACGAAGCTGAAAATGAAAATTCAGAGATCGTGTATTACAGATGTGGCGTATGTAGGAAATGCACTCGTGATTTAATTGGCGGTGATACTGAAGGAGAAAGCCTTGGCCCTTTGACAAAAGATTGCAAGTTGATATTTCATATTTTAAGTTGAGTGTATTTTTAAAAAAGTGATTTATAGTTTAGTCCTAGGATAAGAACACTGTAACTGTCCTAGGGTCTGTTGGACAGCTAGCTGTAGCCCTGGTGGTTTGGGACCAGGGCAGGAGCACCTGCATAATCCGCCTGCAGGGAGCAGTGTATGTGGCGGGAAGGACAAAAGGACAGGACCCCCAAAGACCAAAACTCATTTTTTGTCTCATTACTTCTTGTGAACTGTGACTATGCTCAAACTTAACCTTTCTGGCCCTCGGTTTTCTTATCTCTGAAAAGAAGATACCTGTTTCCCTGAGTTTTGTGAGGAATGCATGTGAAGACATAAAGACCTAGAACAGTATTTGCAGCTAAATTTTAGTTTTCCTTCCTTTCTTTCTCCCTCTTTAAAAACTCATATAAATTATAAGAAGTTTTAATGCAATACAGTCTTGCACAGGCAGAATATAAAGGTGTAGTTTAAAAAAAAACTTTCATGACACTCACTCAAAAGATATTTGGGCCCCCCACCACCACACCCCATTTGTAGCAGCATTATCTATAGTAGCCAAGACATGGGAAAAACCCAAGTGTCGATTGACAGGTGAATGGATAAAGAAGTTGATGTGTGTGTGTGTGTGTGTGTGTAAAAATGGAACGTTATCCAGCCATTAAAAAAAAAAAGAAGCCACAAAGAAATCCTGCCGTATGTGACAACATGGCTGGACCGTGAGGGCATTATGCTAAGTGAAGTAAGGCAGAGAAAGACACATACTGTATGATCTCACTTACATGTGGAATCTTTAAAAAAAAAAAAAAAAAAACCCAAACTCCTAGGAAAAGATATTGGATTTGTGGTTACCAGAGGCAGGGTGTTGTGGGGAGAGGGAATTGGAGAAAAGTGGTCAAGAGTGCAAACTTCCAGTTCAAGATAAATATGTACTAGCAGTGTAACGTACAGCACGATTACTGTAATTAACATGCTGTAGGAAATACATGAAAGTTATTAAGAGTAAATTCTAAGAGTTCTGAGAGAAAAAAATCTTTCACTTTCTTTTGTCTCTCTCTCTCTCTCTCTCTCTTTCTTCTTGCCTTTCTCTCTTTATTTATCTATATGAGATGATGGATCTGAACTTACTGTGGTAATCCCCTCACAGTTTATGTAAGCCAAACCATTGTGCTATACATCTTAAACGTACACAGTGATATATGGCAATTATTTCTCAATAAAACTGGAAAAAAAAATCTTTCATGGAAAAGAGAACAAGAGAAAGGGTCATTGAATTTGGCCAAAAAGAAATTGGGTAGGGCTGTCTAAGAAAAAAATATTTTATTATCTTTGGAGGTTGCAGAAAGAATGAGATGGGTTGATATGTAAACAGTTGGATATTTAACCCTTTACTGACCATTAGGAGTGAATTTTCTTAACGATGCCTCCCTTCTTTCCCAGGACTCTTCTTGTCTCCCCTCTCCATTCATATTCTTTCTTCTCTCTGGTCTTTGAAGATTAGGAACCTCCTTCCCTCCCATCCTGGATCCTCCTGCATCATTTCACTCCCCCCTTTAGAAATTATGTCTCTCTGTTATCACCTTTTTCTTCTGCACCAATCTTGTGTTTTCTGTGGAAATATTAATATGGTAGATTAAATGGTGGGAGAGTGCTCATCCAGACCAACTTGAGGGATAAGGCTTCATTATAAGGATATACTGAAACATACATAGCCAGGAGAAGAATCGGAATAGCCACATCTGGTCTGTATTCCTGTGTTGTGAGAATAAATCCACATCTTTCAGATGCCGTCCCTTGATTCATCTGCCGTATATACACATGAAAGGGGCTTGATAGGGAGGTAGTATAAAGCAGTAAAAGCACCAGCTGTGGATTCAGACAATTGCTTGAGCTTATATGCTGCCTTCACTGTTTTCAAGCTTTTCCACCCCGGCAGGTTAGTCGAGCTCTCTTGGGCCCGGTTCCTCCTCTGTGTCATGGAGATGATAATAGCACCTGCCCTCTAGGGCAGTTTTTGGAATGAAATAATCTATATACAATACACAATGTCTGACGTGTAGAAGCTTTCCAGTAGGTATTAGCTCTCATTGTTATCGTTTACCATTATTACCACTTTTGTTGTTATTGTCATCACCGTTATCATCATCCTCTTTTTTGGGGGGGACTATTTATCACTTTCTAATAAGGAGCACTCCTGTTTGGTGGCGTTCCCCTTCAGGCTTGCTCAGAGGCACACCGGGTGACTGCCAAGATTATATCGGGAAAGCCATGACACTAGAAATGTCCATGGTAGAAAACGGTGAGTTCCCTGCCAAGGGCTTTATTTTATTGATATTAGAATCCCTAGGACTCAGTACAGGGCCCAGTGTATAGGGCTTTGTAAGTGCAAGTTGGTCGGACAAATCTGAGTGTATGGAATCAAACCCTTCTCTTGGTATGTAAACCTGTTTTGTAAACTCCTTTTCCTCATACACTCTACAAGAAGATGTGTGATCAGAAAGGTGCTTTTTAAAACCAAACATTTTGTTCCACTTTACCCTGGGGGTATAATTAATCTTAAATAATACCTAAAGCTCTCTATCTGATTACTAATAAAATGAATTATACTTTAGGCTTCTAGTTCTTTCAGTAAAGAGCTTGATTTAATCATCTCTAGGTAGATAGAGCCCTTCCTTCTACTTTGATAAACCAAGGATAAGAAGAAATTCAGATAAATTTTCTTGGGAGCAAGTAATTTTAAATGTACTCATACCTCCTAACTAATATTTCTTTTTAAACATATGGACAACTGAATTTAGTGAACAAACGTAATGGTGGGAATATAGGAACTAGGCATTTTGCAGATATAACCTTTAGGTTTTTTTTTTGTTTTTTTTTTTTGCGCGGGGGGAGGGATGCATATAAAAGTTGTACTCATGCTAATGACATCCAAACTTATGTCTTTCTTAATTTTCATCTTGTAGTTTTGTCTTTAGCCAATGGATTTTTAGAAATATTTTTGTGCCAAACTTTGGAGTTTGGAAGTTGTATTTTTTGTGATCAAAGAGTATGATCTGTATGATAATTTTAGTTTAAAATTTTATTCATGAACTAGTATGTGATAATTTCTGCAAATTCCATGAGTTTTTATAGCTCAAGCTTGTGAACTGTACAATTCCAATGTTTTGTATTCTGCCTTTCCCCCAATTGTTTACTCTGTCAGTTGCTGAGACAGATACATTAAAATATGTATTATAATAATGTATTTGTCAATTTCTCCCTTTCTTTTAGTCATTTTTTGCTGTTATGTTTGTAGGTTTTCTTGTTGTTTTGTTGTTTTGATGTTTATAGGTTTAGAATTATTTATCTTCCTTTTATAAGCTGATGAGGACTTAATCATGATTTTTAAGGGTTATAGTGTCTGATATTGATAGAGTGATTTATTTGGTTAATTTTTTGCCGGTTATCTTTTTCTATCCCTTTCTTTTCTTTTTTTTTTTTTTTAAAGATTTTATTTATTTATTTGACAGAGATCACAAGTAGGCAGAGAGGCAGGCAGAGAGAGAGAGGAGGAAGCAGGCTCCCCACGGAGCAGAGAGCCTGATGTGGGGCTTGATCCCGGGACCCTGGGATCATGACCTGAGCCGAAGGCAGAGGCCCTAACCCACCGAGCCACCCAGGCACCCCTAGTCTATTTATGTTTAATGTGATCATTGATATTTGAATTCATTTCTGTCATCTTATTTTAGGATTTTAACAATTTCATCATATATTTTCTTTTTTCCTTTTTGGAATTGATCCCATTTTCTTATTTTATTTCTCCTCTTTTGCTAGTTTGGAGGTCTATACATGCAGTTTCAATTATTTTAGTGACAATTCTATTTTAGCAATGCATTCTTTTTTTTTTTTAAGATTTCATTTATTTATTTGACAGAGATCACAAGTAGGCAGGCAGAGAGGAGGAAGCAGGCTCCCCGCTGAGCGGAGAGCCCGATATGGGGCTCAAACCCAGGACCCCGGGATCATGACCTGAGCCGAAGGCAGAGGCTTTAACCCACTGAGTCACCCAGGCGCCCTTTAGCAATGCATTCTTGATTAATTTGAGAATTCATGCCACTCTAATAGATATTTCTCTTTTCAAATTAAGGATCTTAGAAAGCTCCAGCCAAAATTACTCACTTTTCATCTTATTTATCATTACCCAGTATTTGGTTCTACTTTATTTCTGTACCTCCAAAAATTATTACTTTATTCATTCTATGTTTACTAGGTTTCCACTCATGCTTACCAATTTATTTTCTTACTATTGCATCTTAAATTTCATTTCTTCTCTTGGGTTCATTTTTCTTCATCCCAAATAACACAGTAATTTTTCAAAAGGGCATATCTTTTTAATCTTTGCTTAATTCAAATGTCTTTAATTTATTGTCACTCTTGAATGATAGTTTAGCTGGGAATATAATTCTAAATTGAAGGTTTCTCCCTCCCCACACCATCTTAAAGACCTATCCCATTGTATTTCTGACCCATAAGTCAACAGTAATTAAAATATATTGATACCAGCACAGGAGTAAAAAAAAAAAAAAATACACATACATATACACATATATGTGTATAATATGAAAGAGGAGAAAATCCAGAAGAAGATACTTTTTCAATGCAGAGCTTGAACTCACCACTCTGAGATCAAGACCTGAGCTGAGATCAAGAGTTGGACACTTAACTGTCTGAGCCACCCAGGTACCCCTGGAAGAAGATACTTTTATATATATTTATAAAAATCAGTGGGAAAACCTTGGGAAATAAATGCTACAGGGAAAATTATACATCCATTTGAAGAATATAACATGAAATATCAATATGACATGATACAAACATACATAAAATTCCAAATAGATTTGAACCCCAAAAGTGCTTAAAGAAGATACAAGAAAATATTTGTATATCTTGATGTGAAACAAAAGATTTGACTGTGCACTAAATCTTCTTAGGACAGCAGATATCATGAGTAAAGTTAAAAGCTATATAACAAGACAAATATGGCACATAACAAAAGTTATCTGTAGTTACTAGATAAACTTTATAGGTTATTAGACAAGAAAAGGGGAAAAGAAATAGGTGATATACCAGTAAGAGAAATACAAAGTATGGCAAATATATTAGTCATCCTCTCTACTAATTAAAAGAATACAAAGTAAAATGAGATTGTTTAGTCACTTGTCAGATTAGCAAAGATTAGAAGTGACTTTTTTTTAAAAGATTTTATTTATGTATTTGACAGACAGATCACAAGTAGGCAGAGAGGCAGGCGGGGCGGGGGGTGGGAAGAAGCAGGCTCCTCACCGAGCAGAGAGCCCAATGCAGGGCTCAATCCCAGGACCCTGAGATCATGACCTGAGCCAAAGGCAGAGGCTTAACTCACTGAGGCACCCCTAGAAATGACTTTCATTGCCCAATGGTGTTATGAGGAAATAGGAAGCTCCTTAAAGTATTGTCTGTATTATCAATTTTAAAATAGTTTTAGAAGGTAACCTATTAATATGTATCAAAATCTAAAGTGTGTATATTCCTTGGTTCGGCAGCTTGACTTCTTTGAGTTTATTTTTGGGAATGAATTAGATATGTGTACAAAGATGCATTTTCATTGTACTATGAGTACCAGCAAAGAAATTAGGACTAATCTAGATTTCCATTGACAGGGGACACTTTATTATTATTATTATTATTATTATTATTATTATTATTTTATTTGACAGAGATCACAAGTAGGCAGTGAGGCAGGCAGAGAGAGACGGGGAAGCAGGCTCCCTGCTGAGCAGAGAGCCTGATGTGGGGCTCGATCCCAGGACCCTGGGATGATGACTTGAGCCTAAGGCAGAGGCTTTAACCCACTGAGCCACCCAGGCACCCCAACGGGGACACCTTAGATAAAGTGATGCTATCTTCATAAAACAGAATGCTGCATAGATTTTTAAATTGTACAATGATACATTTTTAGTCAAAAGAAAAAGGTTAAAAATAATGTATATATACTGTGACCCAAATTTTGCATATAAAATATGGAAAAGTAAATGGATTTATACCAAAATTTGTACTCTTCTATATTTTTTAGATTTTTAAAAAATTCATTACTTGAAGGGGTGCCTGGGTGGCTCAGTCATTAAGCGTCTGCCTTTGGCTCAGGTCATGATACCAGGGTCATGGTATCACTGGGATTGAGCCCTGCATTGGGCTCCCTGCTCAGTGGGGAGGCAACTTCTCCCCCTCCCACTCCCTCTGTTTGTGTTCCCTCTCTCACTGTCTCTCTCTCTGTCAAATTTTTAAAAAATTATTACTTGAAATATATTTATTTGTGCAAATATATAAAAAGAATACATATTTGTTCATGTGTATGTGTAAACACACATGTGCATATAAACATTTTAAGAATGTATTATAAGAGTATATTATTTGGGGACGCCTGGATGGCTCAGTTGGTTAAGCAGCTGCCTTCGGTTCAGGTCATGATCCCAGCGTCCTGGGATCGAGTCCCACATCAGGCCCCTTGCTCGGCAGGGAGCCTGCTTCTCCCTCTGACTCTGCCTGCCTCTCTGTCTGCCTGTGCTCACTTGCTCTCTCTCTCTCTCTGACAAATAAAAAAAAAAACTTTCTTTAAAAAAAAAAAAGTATATTATTTGATAACTGTTTGGAAATATCAATACTCAGTTCCTAACTTTTCCCCATCTTTTGTCTCAAGAATATTTCTAGGGGTACCTGGATGGCTCAGTAGGTTAAAGTCTCTGCCTTCAGCTCAGGTCATGATTTCAGGGTCCTGGGATCGAGCCCCGCATGGGGCTCTCTGCTCAGCAGGGAGCCTGCTTCCCCCTCTCTCTCTGCCTGCCTCTCTGCCTACTTGTGATCTGTCTGTCAAATAAATAAATAAAATCATTACAAAAAAAAAAAAAAGAATATTCCTAATTCTGTGGTTTGGAAACTGAGGTATGTCAGCGCTCTTTATTTTTATTTTTTATTTTTTTTAAGATTTTATTTATTTATTTGACAGAGATCACAAGCAGGCAGAGAGGCAGGCAGAGAGAGAGAGAGAGAGAGGAGGAAGCAGGCTCCCTGCTGAGCAGAGAGCCCGATGTGGGGCTCCATCCCAGGACCCTGGGATCATGACCTGAGCCGAAGGCAGAGGCCTTAACCCACCAAGCCACCCAGGCGCCTCAGTCAGCGCTCTTTAAAAGAGAAATAGGTGATCTTGAAATGGAGAGTTTAAGTTCATTTGGGCTATTGTTCCTAAAAAGCTGTATTTTGACTTTGTTAAAATAGACACAAATGTAATGATCTTTGGTACTTGTCCCACAGGTTCCAGGAAATAAGTCAGGCTTCTGTTCTAACACACGTCGTGAGGCTGGACCCAGGTCATGACTTCACTCTTGCCCTGGTGACTCAGGGAACTTGAATGTTGGGTTGGGGAAACCACGGGAAACTACTGTGTTATCATCTCTCTGGTTTAGGCTCCCGGAGAGAAAGGTGTGGGTACCGTGTTATGCGAAGGCAGAAAAGTTCCGATGAGCAGCTGCACTGTCTGAGCAAAGCCAAGAAAAATGGCGGACATGTGACCCGAGTGAAGGAGCTGCTGCTGAGCGCCCTGAGCCCGGAGCAGCTGGTGCTCACTCTCCTGGAGGCAGAGCCGCCCCATGTGCTCGTGAGCCGCCCCAGCACACCCTTCACTGAGGCCTCCATGATGATGTCACTGACCAAGCTGGCCGACAAGGAGCTGGTGCACATGATTGGCTGGGCCAAGAAAATTCCAGGTAGGGCTTTCTGCTTTCTGGATGTTAGCTTTTTATTTATGGAAGAAAGGCTTGCCCCTAACATGTGCAGGGCAAGAGTACCAAATGGAGGTCTACACAAATGATGTCTGGGTGTGTAACAGTTTGACAGTTTGATTTATAATCTTAAATGAAATATGTTCTTTCTTCCTTGTCCACACCCCATCCTTCGCGGCCACATCTCCTACCCACACTAGCCTGCTGGACACCTCATGTTGAGATGTGGTCTGAGAGGGTGGACCCAAGGAAAAAAACCTACCCAGACTCTGGAAGTGGGCTGAAAGTGGCCATTTGGGCAAGAAATTCTAGGGGCAGGCCAGCTTGTGATATATACCTGAAAAACTGCATTGTGCTACAATTACCACCTCATTATCATTGGAACTGGTGTTTCTGTGAAAGTGAATCTAGAATTCTAACACAGAATGGCAGCAGCCCATCCCCTGAAAGGGCTTCTCCATGTGCATATTTACAATCATCTAGGAAATGAGGTCTCGCTCCAGGTTCTAAGCCACTAGGGACAGTTCCCATGGCCTGCAGGCTGCAACCGCTTTAGGCAAAGTGTAAAGTCTGGGAGCTTCTGAGAAGCTCAGTGGGGAGGAGTTGGGGGTAAAGAGCTGTGGGAACCCAGGCCTGGTGTACTAGTATCTCTTGGGTCATTTGTTGGTTTGTGCCCAATCCTTCTGAGCTTCCTGAGGATCTCCTGGTGTCTAGTTTTGTTTTGATAGTCTAGATCTTCCCCTTAGCTGGAATTCTGTTATTTTCCCTGCTCTTTTCATAGGAGACAATACTGATGGGTCTTCCTCTAGCTGTCGTGCTACACGTATGCCAAACGCTGGTTTTCAGGACCCCACGTGGAGAGTGGTGGTGAAATTAACGATCATTGAAAACCATGTAGTTTCTTTGTGCCATAACAAAACTGAATTCCTGAGCTGCTTTAGTCCTTCTTCAAGCCTGGTGTTGTAAAAAAAAATTTCAGAAAATTTAGGCATAGTCTAAAGGTGTGATTTTTCTTTCCTCTCTTAGTGGGTGTTATCATTTTCCAAAATTAAAAAAAAATAGTAAAATATCACCTAACCTTGATCTTGTTGAATATCTGCAAATATAAGAAGCCTAATGTCCCATGGGCAGGCTTATTGTCTGTAACTGCAGGCGAGATTGGCACATGTACGCGTGTTAGGACAAGGTGCAATTTTGGAGGAGGACTGAGCCGTCTTGTCATTCGTGATTCCCTCCATTCAGTTCTCCTTTGTGCACACCGGCATTATATTAATCACAGGTTTGATCCATGTGTGCTTTCTGAGCCGTGGCCCCCTCATTTGTAAAACAAGGATGCTGGAAGAGATTACCTGCGGGCATTCATTGTTACTCCCCTTTTTTCTGTAACAAAGTTGACTTAAAAGGACATTCCGTAACTAGCTAGGATGAGGCTGAGCCAGGATCGTAACCAGAGTCTGCTGCACTCCTGGGCCGTGTGTTTGTTTAGTTTTTATATTACCAGGACTTCTCTTCTTATCATGGTTGTGGAGGAAGCACCAGTGATCTCAGCTTTGCTTTGAAAGTGCTCACCTCCCTCAAAATCACCTGTTTCTTTCCGATGTTTGGACCGATCCATGTTGTTAGGCTTTCAAGCTCTTGGGACCTGCTTCAATTGTTACATTTGCTTTTCAGGATAGAGTAGCCTGGAGACAGCACTTCTACTCAGAAGAATGATTCTAACACTGAAATTTTAAGCAATCCGAGATCTCTTTCATTCGAAGCCTTGACTTTCTACAGGGGCTGGTGCTGGTCTCTCTGTGTGTCCTGCACTCCCCTCCCCCCCCCCTCCTACCCCTTCCAGCCCTTCTTGTGGACAGGGCCAGACTGGCAGCCTCTGGCTGGCAGCTGACTCTTATCTTCCTCAGCAGCGCAGAGGAATTTTTTTAAAATGTAACTAAAAACGATCTGTTCCAGCTTTCTGTTCATCCCTAGCATTTGTCTGGGGAGCTATAAGCCCAGGTAACCGTCCTTTATAAATCTTAAATGGAATAGATTCATCCCTAGAAGGTCTCCAAGGCTGGACAGTGTGAGACTGCCTACGCTGAGTTCAGAATTTCCTCCCTTAAGTCAGCATTTAACCACATCTTTAAAAATATTGAGTGTTTCCTTGTATTGCTTGTGTTTTCAATAGCTTGTTAAACCGTGCCCTTCTGTTTTCACAGAAACAGGGAATTGAGGAGGAGAGTGGGTATGTCTCATAGCCTCTTGCTTTCCCTAGGCTTTGTGGAGCTCAGCCTCTATGACCAAGTGCGCCTCCTGGAGAGCTGCTGGATGGAGGTCCTAATGGTGGGGCTGATGTGGCGCTCCATTGACCACCCGGGCAAGCTCATCTTTGCCCCCGACCTCGTTCTGGACAGGTGAGAAAAAAGACATCGTGTTTCTTCTCTGACCTGTTTGAGTCCTGGGTGCCGCAATTAAAATCTCACACCTAAAGGGGGAACTAAGAGGTTGATAAAATCATGAGGTCCTTCCCCAGGCCAAGAGCTGGGGAAGGAGAACATGGGTCCAGGGTTCAGTGTCCTGTGACTCATATTTAGCCATGGTACGGCAGCCTTTACAGGCCAGACCATAGCAGGGCCTATATCTTGTAGACTCGGTGGCCACTAAATGTACAGGTCAAACATGTTTAACAAGTCAACATGTTAAAATGTACAATTTTAACACAGATTTGTCTGTGTTAAAAATTGCACTTTCAGTTTATAATTTTAAATTGTCCTGCTGTTCAGTTTCCACTTATAGGGACCATGTCTATCTCTGTCTAGACAGGTGATAAGATTCTTACAAATCTGCAAAGCTTATTTTAATGTGCTTTGACTTGTAAGTGCATATACTCTGTAGCATTATTGGCAATAGCAGTGGAAGGAACAGTTATTAAAACCAATGAAAGGTAATGGAAATTGGGGAATCATAGTGCCAGTGCCGTCACTTGATTACATTTTGTTTTCTTTTAAAGATGGCACAGGAAAGGGACCCATTTTTAATTGACTCAGGTGAACTGTTCATGGAGGAAAAGCTAGAATAGACAACACTCAAAATTTTAGTTCAAAATATAGAACTCTTTCTTGTTATACATTTGAGCAGGTTAAAAATCTTGATGGAAATTGAGCTCCACATTCCTTATTTTGAAAAAGTTCTCAAGTAGGATGTTCAATCACATTTGATTCTGTGCATGGAGTAGAGGGACGCTATTATACGGTTCGAGAGCATCTGCACCCAACCCTTGGTATCGCCTCCTTGGATCATCAGAAGACCCCTATGCACATATTACACAGATAAAAAATGATAACCTCAAGGTTTTAGCACCCATTCTGTGCATTGTCACAACATTGACAATGAGCACTGTTCTAAGTAACGTAGGTGTTTTGGTGGAGAGCAGGGCCTTTGGCAAGAGCTAGAGCTTGGACTGTGGCTCGGGAGGGAGCAAACCCAGATGTTAAACCATAGAAGAAGGTTCTGGAAGTCCAGACCCTTCAGTAGCAATCAGAATAGCCAAATTATTGGCTTGTATGTGCCAGGCACCATCTTAAGCACTTGATATGTTAACTCACTTCATCATCTTAAGTGCCCTTTCTGAGTCGGGGCGTTATCCCTATTCTTCAGATATGGAAATGTTGGGGTTGGGTAATTTGCCTGTAGGTAGAGAGTAGTAAGTGGTGGATCTGGACTTTGGGGCTGTGAAGTCCATGTGCTTAATGTAACAGTAGTTCCCTGAATGATAGGACATGCCTCTCAGTGGGAGAGAGAGAACTGGGAGGGGAACCAGGAGGAGGCTGAAGGGCAAAGTGACTTTCTACTTTATTCTTTTATCCTAGAACAACTCTATTTTACTGTCTGCCCACTTCACAACCCTACTCCCCTTGCTTTCATCGAAGATCCAGATCTGTGTTGCAAGGCAGGCTGAAAAGCCAAGCACCCAGCCAAGCCATTACTCTCATTCATTCACTCTTTATGTTCCACTTGGTGTTCAAATGAAGCCACACGCACACGCACACACACACACACACACACACACACACACACACACGCACATACACAAATATACACACATAATTCTCTTAGAACTTAGTACTAGGAAGAAGTTTCATCCCTTGATGAATCGATACATTTGCAGACACTTATTAAGTTACTTTATTTTTTGTCTTGATCTCTACATTGATGCCACATTTAATGTTTATGTCCAGTGACGCTTTCATTCCTGGTTTTTAGTAGAATTAACTCTCCTCTTTGTTTGGGTTCTTTAATTCCTGTAAGTTTAAGTTACTGTAAATGGACATACACATCCTGGACAAACATTAGGCCTACGTTAGGCCTACCTTTTGGTTAAGTAATAAAAGAAAAAAAGTAATTTTTCTTACAAATTATTTTAATAGACTCACAGTCCTTTTTAAAGATTTTATTTATTTATTTATTTACTTACTTGAGAGAGAGCACAGGGGAAGGCGCAGAGAGAAAGGGAGAAGGAGACTCCATGCGGAGTGTGGAACCCGACGCGGGGCCTGATCCTATGACTCTGAGATCCCTACCTGAGCCGAAATCAAGAGTTGGATACTTAACTGACTGAGCCACCCAGACTCCCCTCCCATTACTCTATAAATATTTGAAAGTATCATGTCATAAGGCATACAGATGTATATATCTGAGTATTGGAGTCTCTGCAATTTTAAGTGCCTTGACATTGAGCAGGGATTTTTGGTACCTGTCATGGTTATTTTTTCTTGCAATCTCTAGTATTGCCAACACATAAACTTGGTGAAGTCAAGAATTTCAAGTCTAAGATAGTTCAGTTCCTTCGTGCATGTATAATACAGATGAATATTGTTTTATGTGAATGTGTGTTTCTGGGGGTTGCCTATTCAATAATGCTCCAAGTGTTCCTTATTCAAAAAGTCAGAGATTACACATCACAAAGAAGTGTTATGAGGTTTTTCTCAACATGAATAAATAATTTGCACAGTACTTGAAAATCACTGTCTTTTGGCAGATTGTCCTAGCAGTTCCATCCAGTGGTGGTGTGACCATAGAAGGTATGAATACAACTAAATTAGCTCACTGTGCAGACAGAGATAATAATTGCTGTTGTCTTTCATTCTTGTTGAGGCTTCTGTAGTGAGAAAACTTGAACCTACTCTGGATGAGAGGAAATTCCGGTCACCTCGGCTTATTTCTAAACAAGGTGGTTCTTCTCTCAGTAACCACTAGAGTCAAAAATTCTTGTGGGGATCTGCCACAGAATCTGAGCTTCTGCTTGCTTAAAAAAATCATATATGCTAAGACATGTATGTCCTTGGCATCAGCAGGAAACTGTCTAATGTTCCATATCATTAAAAAGAGGGCGTTTGGATCTGGGCTTGGACCCCATTGTGGACAGTAGTGGAATTTCATGGAATCATATTGTAAATGTACTGAGTTTGCATTCCTATTAGTGACGTGTGCATTGAATTTCAAGACACCCAAAGAATTTTCACTTTAAAATTTTCATTTCCCTTTTTGTATGTAGGGAATTTTCATATCAGTTTAATATTTAAGTCTTCTCCATGTGTTAAGCCAGGAGCTCGTCCCCCCCAATTCTAGTGCCCTCCCCCTGCCCAGAAGTGAACTGTGTGTGGTCTACACACGCCCACATGTGTGCTGCCAGCGGTATGTATGTAGGTACAAAATAGTGCACCCAAAGCAACATTCACTCATTCAACATTTTGTCATTGGTATAGAACAGAATCACTTTCTTTTATAAAGTAGTCGCTAGCACATAATTAGACATTCCACCTGTACTTACTATTTTATTTTTGCTTAGCCCTAGTTTCTGGACAAATGTGCAAAAGTAAGCTTCTATGAGTGGTTTGGTTTGATTATAGATTGTTTCAGTATTTTAACATTCAGATCATATGTCTTCTCTCTTTAATTCAGATCTTTTAATCTTATCCTAATTTCTTATTCCAAATTCCATTTCATTCCATAGTTACAAAATAAGTATAATAGATGTCATTAATATATTATTTAAAAGTCCTTCCTCTATAGAACTCATTTCAGGCAGAATTTTATTAGGATATCATTTATGAGGTATTACACCTTATTTCCTGTATTTCCCATTTATTTCCTAAGAAATGTATTTGGTTTCCCCAGCCTGTGAAATGTATAAAAATATCCTAACCATGCCACCCCTTGACTGAAATGGTTGGCTGTCACAGCTGCTAAGAAAAGCAATCATCAGCCTTAGTTCTTTAGAATTAGTTTAGAGATTCACTTTTTCTGTGAGGTACACATGTTCTGATTACTGTGAGTTGTAGCAATTCTCAGGGCTTAGGAAGCTCTGGAATATAAACTTTCCCTCTGTTTTTAAAATATGAATCTGCATTTAACATGGCATTTGTAAAGATAATTATCATATGGTTTCACCTACTTGTGGAACATAAGGAATAGCATGGAGGACATTAGAAGAAGGAGGGGAAAAATGAAGGGGGGAAAATCAGAGGGGAAGACAAACCATGAGAGACCAAGGACTCCAGGAAACAAACTGAGGGTTTTAAGGGGGAGAGCAATGAGGGGATGGATGAGCCTGGTGATGGGTATTAAGGGGGGCACGGACTGCATGGAGCACTGGGTGTTAGACGCAAACAGTGAATCATGGACCACTACATCCAAAACTAATGATGTACTGTATGGTGACTAACATAATACAATAAAAAAAATATAATAAATAAAACGGCATGCATTTCAATGAGGAAATGATACAAATTTCAACATGCAGGGATGTGTTTTTAGGTATAAGAGGCAATCTCTGCAAAACAGGATTGATTTCAGATGAATGATCTTAGACTATCTGGGGAGTGACATGACCCCACCTCTGACTGAGTCTCACAGAAAAGTAAGGAGTCAAACTATTAAACAATCAATGCAGGAGTTGGTAGGCTTTTAATTTATTCCCAGAGATTTTATACTATTTTTTTGATTTTTTTTTTTTAAGTAATCTCTATACCTACTGGGGGCTCAAACTTGGAACCCTGAGATCAAGAGTCGCATGCTCTACAGGTTGAGCCAGCCAAGTGCCCCTCCCAACCCCAAGATGTTTTAGAACCAGCTTTTCTTGGTGTCCGATGTCCTCAAGCCCAGCAATGACAGATTTCAATAATTAATTGTCCATAAGCACAGTGATTTGATTATGTGGCATTGGTGTTTTATCACTTAACCTGTGCATTTTCAGAAAGCCTCAGGTCGTTGCAGAAGCTAACATGTTTGTTTGGAACTCACAGTGTACTTGCTGGTAGCTTTGTGTAGGTGAGCCGGGGGGGGTGTCTAAATGCTGTGGGACACAGGATCCTGGCAAGCTGCTGCCCTCACAGAGAATCCAGTAGCAAAGGCTGCCCCAGCCTTGGTGGTTCCCATTGGTGTCCGTGCATTTGAGTTTCACAGAGACCCTTTCCCTAGCCGCCGCCATCGTCGGAAATGTCCTGGCTTGGGGCTGGGGGAAGGAAGGAGGGGAGCAGCCAGTTCTCTGAAGATCTCAGGTCCCCTTCAGGGGCTGCGAGGAAGACTAAAGATGAAACTCGCAGACACCCACCACTGCCAGGCTCCCCTTCATCCTCATGGCAGGTGTCGAGAAGCAGATGGAAGTTTCATGGCGAAACCACCTAACTGCTTGTCAAGGGCTTCCAGTGCCTACGACTGATGATAATAGAAGGTTTTTGGGGAGCAGTGAGGCAGAATAATGTGTGTCTGACTGGAGTGAATTGAAGCTGGTATTTTCTAAATACAGTTCAAGTAATTTCCTTCAAAAGTATGCATAAAAATTCATTTCTATCAGTGTTCAAAAGAATTTTGATTATATGGTTCAAAGTTTGTCTAAAACTTTTGCTTAAAAATAATCTTTGGCAAAGTGAAAAATGTTCATGTCTCCCTCTCAGGCTTCCTTTCCTCCTTCTAATCTGTCTTCTCTAATTGTGATTTCTTTGTGTATCAGACCAGCTTTTTTTCAAATTATGTTCAACGTCTCTTAGTTGCCCCACTGATTTCTAAATGACTACCGGGGAGTGAGTTAAGCCCTAGATGTAAAGGGTTGTTTCTTCTTAGGGCATTTGCTCTGGTAACTCTTGTTAGCGCTTCAGAGTCTTCTGAGGGGAATATAGAATTAGTATGTGTCATAATTCTGGCTGTTTGGCTGAAATGGTTTAGATCGAAAACAATCAACAGAAATGGTATTCCGTTAAAACATTTGGTGAACGGGGGCACCTGGGTGGCTCAGTGGGTTGGGCCGCTGCCTTAGGCTCAGGTCATGATCTCAGGGTCCTGGGATCGAGTCCCGCATCGGGCTCTCTGCTCAGCGGGGAGCCTGTTTCCCTCTCTCTTTCTCTCTGCCTGCCTCTCCGTCTGCTTGTGATCTCTCTCTGTCAAATGAATAAATAAAATCTTAAAAAAAAAAAACAGGGGGCACCTGGGTGGCTCAGTGGGTTAAGCCTCTGCCTTCGGCTCAGGTCACGATCTCAGGGTTCTGGGATCGAGCCCCGCATCGGGCTCTCTGCTCAGCGGGGAGCCTGCTTCCTCCTCTCTCTCTGCCTGCCTCTCTGCCTACTTGTGATCTCTGTCTTTCAAATAAATAAATAAAATTAAAAAAAAAAAAAACATTTGGTGAACGGGTAGAAGGGAAGTATATTTTCAGTGCACGTTTTTGCCTAAATAGTATTTATTCCAAGTGTTTGCTTTTGGAATTTAGAGAAAGCTCCCTGTCCTCTTTATATGAAGATAATTCTAGTAATTTCATATCATTGGAGGTGCTTTCATTACCATTTTGTTAAAGGGTGTACAAGATGAAATTTGAGATTAACAAGAAAATACTCCTTATTGCTTTTAATGGTTGCCTAGTGATGCATGTTTCTTAAATTTCCAAATGAACTTTTGTAGGGATGAGGGGAAATGCGTAGAAGGAATTCTGGAAATCTTCGACATGCTCTTGGCAACAACTTCAAGGTTCCGTGAGTTAAAACTCCAACACAAAGAGTATCTCTGTGTCAAGGCCATGGTCCTCCTCAACTCCAGTAAGTAGTCACACAGCTGGGCTGTGTTTTATGGGGGAGAGTTGCTGTTTCTAGAACTGGCATGGAGTGAAGAACAATATTGAACTTATTTTATTGAAGAAGGAGGAAATGGCTTTCTTCCTGACTTCTGTTTCATTTTATAGGGATTGAAAGTGTAGTTAACGTTTGGTAACTTGAATATAAATTATTCATTGACTGAATTACTGGCAGTAATTTAAAAAGTGGCCCAAGCCACTGCTGGAAAAGGAAAAAAATGAACTTTAAAATACTTACTTTGCAGCCTTTGTTCATCATTTATACAGGCATTGTATGTGGTTGACGTTCATTTATATTCACTGCTTTACTTTTATAAATTCATTCATTTGTTGGTTTCATTTATTCATTTGGTAAAGACATTGAAGATACAGTCCTGCCTTCCAGCGTAAGGAGGGAGGGAGGAAGAGAAAACAAATAATTAAAAAGAACGATGAGTGGTTTAATAGAGTGTGTACGGAGGACTGTGGGGAAGCAGGGGAGGGTGGGGGGGAGCATGTGGTCAGGGCCGGGCATAAGTTCTGCCAGTGGTGCAGTAGAAGAGCAGAGGGAGGTGCGCACAGTTGAGAAGAGCCGCGCCGTGCCAGAGATTACGCTTCACACCCGGTCAGGCTCCGAGCAGCCCTAGGAGAGGTGCACATGGGGGAGTGTCATGGACAGATAGGCGGTCCATCAGGGTCCCTCTGGCTGCCACGTGAAGGATTGGCTGGAGAGGGGAGAGACAGGGGCAGGGACCCGGGACAGTGAGAGCCAGAATTGACTTGGTGTGTAGGACGGGGGGTGGGGGGGAGGGCCTGACCTGAAGGAAACGCGGGGGTTAGAGGCGGGAAATAAGAGAGAAGTTGAAAGTATCATGGGTGTTGTAGCGTTCCAGTTTTTTTCTTATTATGTAAGTAATCCCTGGTTATTGTAAACATTCAAACGAGGAAGAAAAAGAAAAATAAGGAAGAAAAAAATCACCAGGATTCTCCCCTGTGCCTGGGCAAAATAACCACCATAACTTTGATGACCAATCTTTTTTTTTTTTTATATATATAATTTCATTTTTTAAGATTTTATTTATTGGGGTGCCTGGGTGGCTCAGTGGGTTAAGCTGCTGCCTTCGGCTCAGGTCATGATCCCAGGTCCTGGGTTCAAGCCCCATGTCGGGCTTTCTGCTCAGCGGGGAGCCTGCTTCCTCCTCTCTCTCTGCCTGCCTCTCTGCCTACTTGTGATTTCTCTCTGTCAAATAAATAAATAAAATCTTTTTTTTTTTAAAGATTTTATTTATTTATTTGACAGAGCGAGAGCGCACAAGCAGGCAGAGCGGCAGAGGGAGAGGGAGAAGCAGGCTCCCCACAGAGCAGGGAGCCCCATGTGGGGCTCAATCCCAGGACCCTGGGATCATGATCTGAGCTGAAGGTAGTCACTTAACCAGCTGAGCCACCCAGGCACCCTGGTGACCAATCTCAAACAGCTCTCTGTAGATAGGCAGCTCTTGACAGATGTAGGTAGGTAGATAGGTAGATAGAGATGGATTGGTCGATAGATGTATGTATGTATACAGACATATAGAGAGAGACATCCAGGCACACACAAGCTTATACGTGTCATTTTACGTAAACAGCATAGCGTTTTTTATTGTTATTTATGATAAAAAATTATAAAGACTTTGACCCTTGCTTGACCCTTCCACCCCAACACCAAGCAGCTAATCTTGCAGGAGGATAGACTTCATACCTTCTTCCATCCTCTAATAATCTTTTAAAATAATACCTCACCTTCAGTATCCACAAAGATAAGTCCCCCCCCCATTAAAAAAATTGGGAAATGTAATATACAAATACTTCTCTGTATCTTGCTTTTTTACTTTTCAAAATGCTGTGAAATACCTTCAGGTCAACTAGGAGACCTCTAACTCAATCTTTGAGGACGTTGTCTAAATTGTTCAACCATTTCTTTATTGATGGACCTTTACTTAATTACAGGGTTTTTGTTGTTGTTGTTGTTGTTATAAACATTGCTGCAATAAATGTGGCGCTGTTTTGTGCACATTTCTAAGTTTCTATGTAGTGTTCACGCTGTTCAGTTTACTGTCTCACCTGCTATTTGGTCCAGCTGCTATCCCTGGTGGTAATCGCTTTGCTACTTACTCTTGTTGGTTTCTTTCTTTCTGAAATAATATGATATGCAAGTTTGAATCCTCAACTGATGACTTAGAGCTAACTTCATTTCAACATCATCTGGGGCCTTCCTATCTAGATTTTATCTCACCTTAGAACTTTTGTGTTTGAAATAATAGGAGTCTGTGGGATCATATTATGCTACTTTATTTTAAATCAGCCAGTGCAGCAGTTCCTGAGGCTAAAGCTCAGTGCAGAACCTGTGGCCATGTTCTGGGGCCAGCTGACCTCTCCTTCTGTAGCCTATACCTTTCTGCGTATCTAACACCCCACGTACTCTTGGACGTTGGCACTAGATTTGATGGGAGGGGAAAGGGAAACCTATAGAGCAGTGTTTCTCAAGCTATTTGTGGTGAAGCATCAGATTTCTTTTTCTTTTTTAATTTCTAAATTATTATAGACAGTTACTTTGATAAAATATAATAAAAACAAATTATTAGGAAAAATAAAAGTGCAAAATACAAGGCTAGCTTTTTGTTATTACATTAAGTTGATTTAAAATTATTCTGTCAATTGCTATAAGAGTTTCCCAGTGTTCACCCTCAATTTCTACTTATACCTGTGGACTGGTAACACTCTGAGTAGCCCTGGGATAGAGCATGGAGATACATGGCTGGCTCTGGGGTAAGTCTTGATGGAAGGAAAAGCGGGGGCAACAAAGAAGGAATCTGAAGATCATGTGAGGTGCAGAGATCCTGTAGACAACCTTTGGGTACTGCTGAGTTCGGTTTTACTCTGGCCCTACCTGTCTGACAGGACATTTTCCCTAGACCCAATGCACTCTCAACACCAGCTCAGGAAAACAATCTGTGACTAGAAACGGTCAATTGGTGGACAAATGAAAATTGTAGGGAAAGCCAGGAAGACTCCTTAAATGCTCTGAGACTTCTGGCACCTTCTTGACATTTGTTACCATTCACCTTTTACAACATAATACAAGGGCCCAGCTTACCTCAGAGATTAAGGGGATGTGCATGGAGAAAAATGTCCCGCTGAGACATCTGAAAGTGATCATGGAAGAAAATCAACTTTTCCTGATCCTTTTTTTTTTTTTTTAAAGATTTTATTTATTTATTTGACAGAGATCACAAGTAGGCAGAGAGAGAGAGAGAGAGAGGAGGAAGCAGGCTTTCCGCTGAGCAGAGAGCCTGATGCGGGGCTCGATCCCAGGACCCTGGGATCATGACCTGAGCTAAAAGCAGAGGCTTTAACCCACTGAACCACCCAGGCGCCCCTTCCTGATCCTTCTGAACCACCTACAGACCTTACCGCTCACGTGTGCTGCCATGTCTGCCTGTGTTAAAGGGGGATTTGCTTGGAAATTGCATTCCCATCTTGGCCCAGGAAGATCATCAGATGCCGATTTATGGGGCTTCTCTTACTTGCAGAAATAATTTAGAACACTTTTCTGTGCAGCAAAGCGCTCCTTGGAAAGCCATTTGCTTCTTGTTACAACACTTTGCAGTGTAAAGCCTTGTGTTTGGCAAGGCTCCTTACCTTAGTCTCTGAGACATCATATTGTGTTGTTGTGAAAGCCAGAAGCATCATCTGTGCAAATGCGAAAGACTAAGGCTGTGGCATTCCTCGTGCAGCATCTGACAGAACTGCTGTATTAGGAGAATTACAGAGGGTGAGTCAGGCATGTGAGGTAATTACCACTCGTGGTGGTAAATTGAGTGGAATTTGTTTACAGTAAACCTCCACTTAGGAAATCTTCTTTTAACAAAGTTCCCTTCCCGCTTGGTAGTCGGTAGCAGTAGCCAAATGGGTTTAGGAAGATGGGATTCTGTTTCTCTTGGAAAATTTCCATTGTCAGGAGGAAAGAGGGGTCTTTTCTGTGCTAGGTTTTAGGCCTTTGAAGGTATAGGTGGTTTTTTGTCCTGGAGTATTTGTAGCATTACATTAAAAATAGGGACAGAATCTACTTTCCCACCTTAGAGAAAAACAAGAAAAACAAGGGAATGTACAAAATAGACATTGGACATTGGACAACAAACCACGCAGGACAGTGATCCCTAAGAGAAGGGACACGAACAAAAGTGAACCCTTTATCATCTAGTTTACTACATAGAGCCAACGTCCAGGTTCCATAAGGGGACATAAGCCAAATAGACGCCCGTGGTCTCTCTGCACTGGGGAGACAGAGTCGTGAATTTGGGGAAGCCATCGCAGCTGGGATTTGCAGGGGAGGAGACTACTGGTGAGGGAAGAGTTGGATGGAGAGGCTTTGCAGAACTGTAGCAGATGCCCTTCAAGTCTTCAGCTGGGTACTAATCTCATGCTTATAAAGATACTTAACCAAGGACAGAGAAAGAGCCATCAGAAAGGAGCAGACAGAATAATCCCTAGCATACACACAGGGCCAGGAGTAGTTCATGTTCTCACAGCCGGAGGAAAAACCTTGTAATATACTGGACACTGGGTATAGTGCCCAAAAAGGTGTTGTGCCAGGAGTGAGGTAAACCTTGCCCTAGACTAAAGGCTGCCCTGGTCCTACCAAACACAAAAGCACGCCTGAAGGATCAGAATCATTGTCAAGTAACTTAACTGCATCACAGAACAAAGTTCAAGAAAATTTAGAAGAATACAAGGATACCCAGTACGCAACCAGGTAAAACTTGCAATGTCTTATAACCAATCAGAAGTTAGCAAGCCTGCAGGGAAGCAGAAAACATGACCTATAGTGAGGAGAAAAACCAGTAAATGAGAAAAGACCCCAAAATGATACAGGTAATAGAATTAGTAGACAAGAACATTAAAACAATAGTAACAATAATTACTGTAACTACTTTCCATAAGTCTAAG